CCTTCCATGGGCGCGGAGACGCCAGGGACCAAGACCCTTTCGAATCTTTTGAATCACGAGAAGATTGCCTGCTGTTCTTCTTCTTCTTGTCTCTCGGCGATGCTTTGTGTGTGTCCCCACTAGTCTAGTGGTCTTTTCGGCTTTCGGGGCAGGAGTGGCTTTCGAAGTTGCTGGATGCTGCCACGGAGAATCCTTCCCCCTCTCGCGCCGGCTCGCCTTGAAGAACTTGCACACCTGAGGCTTCAAGCCTGGAGGGCTCTGCGAACGGTACTTCCTGGGGGTCTGAGGTCGCGAATTGCCCTTCTTGCCTTTCCCCTTACCCTTTGGTGATTTCACATACCCAAAGCGACAGCCAGGTGCCTTTGGCCAAATTGAAACTTAATACATACACCTTTGGGAACTCCAGGAACCGCAGGATTGTTCGATGGATAGAAACAGTTTGGAAAGAAAGAGGCTTGTCCACATGAGGGATGCGACGTCGAGCAACACGATGGGACGTGGCCGGATCAGGAACTGGTAGGAGTGCTTCTCCGATCCTTCCTCCGCCCGTTCGTACTCGTTGGGGTCGTGAGTGAGGGGGCGGTATTTCCTGATCTGCCGGTGGAACAGTGCCTCGAGGGTCTTCTCATTCTACTCAGTTGCCACACCAGCAATGACTGTATCCCATCTTGTCATGAAATTCTTCAAGCCTCATTGATGAGCTGAACAGAAAGCAAGTCCTCGAAATCGTAGATAGCACCATGCTTAATATGCGTGCTGAAATATTTGTGAATCAAGAGAATCTGCCGGCCTCTCGCGTATGGTTTCTCCTTTGCGTCTTGTTCTTTGAAGATATCGACTTGCCGCGCGAGGTCGCCCTCCAGGATGTTCGTCAGCGCCGATGCCAGCTTTGCGTCGAGATGAACAAACATGCCTGAGTCACAAAAGAACTTCAACCGTCTGACCAGGGATCCAAGTTGCCTCAATCCACTCAACTGCCTTTTCGGGTTGATCGGAAGTAGCAAAAACAGCACCCCAAACTCTGTTGAACTGTTCGGGTCTCGGGAAACGGGGGATATGAACTCGATCACCTTCCTTTACACGAACGCGTTCCGTTGTCGGATCGCTGGGAGGTCCTAAGCGCTTCAGTAGCTTTCGTCGAAATGACTCATCAGACGCTGTAGAAGATGAGAATGAAGAGGGTGAAGGAGAAGAGGACGGGTCCCGTCGCCTCCGTCGGCTTCGGCCCTTCTTGCCCTTCTTCATCTCCGTCGTTTCCATCATCACCAGGCCCACCGTTTCCAGTAGCAGCATCTGCCACGACCCCGGCGGGAACGGATCCATCTTTGCCGTAGGGGTCGCGCCCGACCTTCCTCCAGCTGTGTGAAGAAGAGTTGGAAAGTCCGGGCGGGGATGCAACCACAGGTGTCGGGGGTGCAACCAATGGAGTCGCTGGCGCTTGCTGAGCAGGAGGTGCAGCAGTCGGAGCAGCTTGGGCAGGTTGTTGTTGTTGTTGGTTGTTCATCATCTGCTCAGCCATCGCCCTCAGCTCTTGGATCTGCTTCTCCTGATCGCTGGTGGTATTCATGCCACTGTGATACTTCATCTCGGCCTCTCCCTCAGATTTTAGAGTATTGGCACGTTGTTCCGCATTCATCTAGATTTCCCGCATCATAGCATCAGATTGACTTTGAAGTCCAGCAATTGTTCTGGGTTGCATTGAACTGCTGATAGTTCGTCATCGAAGGGTCGAGGTGAACATTTGCAACATGCTGATTGTGTTGGTTCATAGCCTGCGGCATAGGGTTTCCCCTTGCGAGGTTGGACTGAGGGTCATACATGACGATGTCACCATGCCGATGCCGATCGGATCCAACGGGCGAAGGAGATCGAGCACCAGACCGCCCAGGCCTTCCTCGGTCGCTCCTGGACCGAAGCGATTCGGGGCCTTGACTGTTCAAAGCTCTCTGGCCACTCATAGTGCGAGGGATCATCACTTGCAGGCCCGTCAGGAGAGCGTACAACTCTGCACAGTGAGCCGCTTACGGCTGATAACCTATAGAACAGGTTAAACAACCTAGAAGGGTCAGCGTCCAACCCTGCGATAAGCGCGCTTTTCTTGAGCCATGCGTTGCGAGTATAACGAAGCCACGCCAGTGAGACACTCATGCAATTGGGGTTAATGAGGTTGATAAATACGTCACATGGTAAAATACAGTTTTGACCCACAGCCATCTGGCCATGTTGGGTACCACTTCTTGAGCTCAACGCAGCTTGCCGCTTGCCGCAGGCCTGGCAGCAGCTCGCCGGCCAGGAGCAGCGCGCAGCGCCGCCAGTTCTCCGCGCTGCGGAGCAACGCCTGCAAAGCGTGCCGTGCTGACAGAAAGACAGCTCTTTTCTAGGAGTACCTTCCATTTCCATTCTTTCCAGGGATCGGAGTCTTTTCATGGTTTAATCTCAGGAAAACAGCCGGTTTTTGAAAAGAACGATGGTTGATAAGAATGGGAAATCAACCCCTAGAGATTTAGTTTCCGTGGCGGTCGCTGGGCTTTGCCCCTGAGGCAAGCTTCGACCAATGGAAAAAAACACCTGGGCCACTACAAAGGCGGGCTGTCCACAAGATGCTGCGCAACCTTTTGGCTTGACGTTGCAAAACCTTGGCCTGGCCGGCAACCGATCCGTTGCCCACACGCACTGCGAGGTCCGCCATGGCTGCGGCAAGGTGCTCCAAAGCGCCACCCGCCAGCTCCGCGGCACCTGCGGCCTGGAGCTTCGTCTTGCGCCAGTCTCGCGCTGAGACACTGGATCTGAGGCATCTGCGTGATCCGCATCCCAGGCATCGAAGTCATCATCCTCCGTGCTTCCAGGCAGCGCAGTGGTGATGTCTAAAAAGTCCTGCACGCACCGACATGTGGTGGACTAACACACACGCATATGTAACGTATACACATATAAACACTTGCAAGCGCTGTAACTGAAAATCCAACAGGACACAGGTCTTGGTGGTTTCGCCCTGACATAGACGTGCTCCTGCTCGTCAAAATAGAAGTCACCTTCACACCCAAGTTGGCCGATATGAGAGATACAAGCCATCTACTTAATTGAATTGTTCTAGTGTGAAGCTTCTTGTGGCTCTCAAGCATGCGCCTGACGCGCCGGCTACCTCGAGCTCGCCACACACGTTGTACCAATCGGCCAAGAGCATGGCTTCTGCTGCATTCCTGGTCAGCTGGAGGGGCACAAGCTTTCCAGAAAATTGCAAGCACAATTCGCAGCAATGAACGGGCAGCATCTTTTTCCCTCCCACCCACAAACAAATGCAGGCACCACGGTTGGTCCTCATGGAGATGCCCACAGCCCCAAGGGTTGCCGGACTCTCCCCGCGACCAGCCCAGCCCTCATCACCCATGAAGGCCCTCGGCAAGACTCAGCGTAGCTCCTTCTCTTTCGGAGTCTCCAGAACAGCTCTCACTGCTTGTTAGAACAAATGGCTGTGGGTCAAAATAAGTACCCAAAATGGAACCTTAGGAAATGGACACATGGATAAAACCTGCGATCCCCTAGCGGTTTAATTTTGACCCACGCCCAAATGGGTTTCTAGGATGCCACGCACATGATTGTCCAGGGTCCATGGTGCTGGGGCCCCAGCCCAGCAGTGAGCAAGTCATCAGCAGCATACCACAATTCGTTTGCAACGTCCTGAGCTGGGCCCAAACGGAGCTCAAGCCAGCCACATGCCCTTTCGTTGCGAGCAAAAGCGCATGCACGTGCAGGACAGGTTCCACCACGAAGCGGTTGTCGTGTTCGGGCTCTGGTGGTGAAGACCCGCCTGCTGACAAAGCGACCAGCCGTTCGATGTGAGCATGGGGCCATCCAAATGAGGCAACCTTGCCCCCTGCCCCAACCCTTGCCAAAAATTCCTGGAATTGTCAAGCTGTAGGTGACGGAACCTAACGCAGCATGCCGCGAACCTTGCCTGTCCGCCCTGGCAAAGGAAGAGAGAATAAACAGCCGGGCCTGAGCTTTCTGGCAATGCATGAGGTGAGGTTCACTGATGGACTTTGCGTCAGGGCAGCTAGTTCAAAGTTCAACCATCAACCTGGTGGTTTACTGCAATGTATAGGGCTTGCCCTGGACACGTCGAACTTACCACTCCTAAATGCTCAGAATCCTACAAACTTTAAAGCACAGAGTCGCTGCTCCCTGTTCCCTTCTCCAGGACTTCTCCCGCGTCAAAACGCAGAACTTGGACCCCTCCTGTTCGTCTAGACTGTACCAATTGGCCCAGACTGACCAGACTGCCCCGTCAAGTTGTTAATCTATTCTCCGTATTGCTCTGTGCTACACTCTGCGAGCTTGGGTGAAGAGCCTTCAGCTCTTGACCCCAATGCCAGTCATCTAATGCTATTTCTGGCAAATCAATTGAAGAAAGGATTCTCAAGATCTGAAACAATGTGCGCTAAGAACAGCGCTCGAAAGGCTCGCGCAAAAGCCTTCTAAGTGTCAGACCGCAAGTCTCGCAGCAGTAGGCAAAGAGCGAGTGCACACCATGGCAACCTTCTGGCCAGTGATTTCATGCGTCAAGCTTTCAACTAGCAAGCCCTGTTCAATTCGGCATTGCATTTGCCGCTTTGGGCTGAACAAACAAGTGCATGGCATCAGTACTGTGACAACTTGCTCGAAACGGCCGCCCACAGCAGCGTAACTTGTGTCTCCGTGCTGCCTTTCTACCTGTGCAGAGGTTGCTCGCTCACCAAGTGCTGTACTGGATGGACTGCAGGCTTTGCGGAAGCCAGCACCCTTGCAATTCTTGAGCACATGGACATAAATTGGACATGAAACCGCGCCGCAACTGATCATGAGTTGGCCTCTTGGAAAGTCGAGCAAATACGGGAGCTTGGCAGAAGTGACACAAATGCCTGTGAATCCCAATAATCCTGTCCAAATCAAAATAACCCGCACAGTGCCCTACATCAGTGCACACCTCAGGACATGCGGCTCATGTCTATAAAGGCTCGTGCCTGGTCCGCGGCCTCCTCTGGAAGGTGGAAAATACGCAGAAGCTCTTTGATCTCGCCGATCTCCACCTGCAACATCTGCAACAAGTCCAAAGCACTTCTGTGGTTGCACAGTTCACCAGAAGCTTGTCAAGCTGGCCATGGACATGTATAATTTACAGGCATGTGCAGTCCAGCAGCTGGCAAGACAAGCAAGACATGCCCTTTACAGCACTTGTTTGAAGCGGCTATTCGCGCGCATCTGGATGCAACTATGGACCTCGACGGTGACACTTGTCTGCAGGGTGAGATGCCTCTGCAAGCTCGGACCGTCAAGCACTGAGGCCATGCCTAGATCCTAACCACATGAAGCCATCGAGCGGAGTGCAACCCCGAGAGCTCAGCCAAAGCTCGGAAATGAGATTGATTGCAGGCCTGCAGCTTAGCTGTAACCTTGACCTACGCTGGACATAGTCTGCGCACACATGTCGCCAACAAATCGGTCGAATTTCTTTTGCATCTGGGCAAGGCTCATGAGCTTCTTCTCTATCCTGTTGCTTTGTCGGTGCATCAGCGTGATCTCATAGGCCATGGATAGCATGTCGATGCTCGTGGCGGGGCCTTTCATTCTCATGCACCCCGTGACAAAGGTGTCGATATCCACGTACCGGTCGCCCGCCACGCCGGTGAGCATGTCAAAGAAGGTCTTGGCATCGTGGATCTCCAGGCCTAGGGATGCCATTTGGATCAATGCTGATTCATCTGAGACGTAAACCTCGAAATCCTCCCAGGAGATCCTGCCGCAATTGTCCAAATCAATCGCTTGGCAGAGGTGCCGCAACCTGGCAGCGTCCTGCAGCTCCTGATTCCGATGTTCTGCGATCATGTTCTGATTGTCGCTCTGCGACCATTTCATGGCATGATCCACAAACATCCCCGTCAGAACCTCGGTTCAAGGGGTCTGCTCAAGATGAACACCACGTCAGGTACTCCGAAATACCCTGGTTGCAAGACAAATATGGAAGCGTTCTGAAGTGCAGCTATGCTTCGTTAAATACAGCAAAATTGAAAAAAGCTATGTAGAAGAGGAAGGCCCAGCCCCCACCCTGACCAGCTTTTGTGATCAGGTACAAAGCATTTTCCCAATCAAACCCCCCTGTGGTGGCCAAGTAAAGAGTGCGCATCGTCTTCTCCAAAGATCCAAAGTGGAACAGGAACTGCTCGTAGGTCGCATCATCTATCGACTCGCGTTCCAAAACCAAATAATCCGTGGAGATCTGGAGGAAGAACAAGGCAAAGACGCAGATTACAAGCGTAATCAACACCAGGCACCAGAATAGCGCATTGAAGGAACTGATGATGGAGAACACCATCATACGAAGCTCGCGGACCACGCGGATGGCGCGGAGTAAGCGCAGGACCCTCGAGAGCCGAACCACCCGCAGTGACCGCATGTAGGAAAGGCGGCTGACGGATTGGTCAGACACCAGTAGCTCAAAGACTTGCTCCTGCACCGCAAGGAGCACCAAAATGAAATCCTTGGAGTGCCGCTGACCGGCGCTTTGATTGATCAAAGCGCGGGCGGGGGCGATCTGCGCGCGCATGCTTGCAGCCAATCCCCTTTCAATAATTGGGCCCTGCTAAGAAGTTAATTCTCCAAGACCCCCAGATCTTCCAATGCTAAACAAAACCTAGCTTGCAATCAACTACTCAACCAACTCCAAGCCAGGGAATTTCCGTCGATCCCCAACTCCAGCCGTATCAGGGGACATTTTGGAACAAACACTAGACCAAGCAAACACAGCTTGTGGGGGAAACATCCACTTATCACAGGTGGATTCACAGGAAATTTGCTCCAGCCTCCCAGGGCCATGTCAACACTGGAGGCTGCCCGTGCCACTAATTTTGATCTTGCCGGAAGGGAAAGGAAAGGAAAGCCCAGCCTTCCAGCGCGAAAATTCAGGCTGACCCCGTCTGCTGGTTGTATCTTTCCGTCGGCATGAACAGAAACGGATCAACGGCGCCCACTTCAAAAACAGAGAATGAGAGAAACTTCAACTGGCCTGAAGTTAATCTGCAAGTGAGCTTGCCAATGCAATCATACCTGGCCGTCCAATTCAGTTCGGAGCTGTTTTCGCCTGCAAGGGCAAAGAGAAGCAAAGCAAAAGCGGGACCCACAAATCCTTAGACCTGGTTTTGTTTGTCTCTCCTCCTTTCGCGAGCAGGCAGAGTACACACACACACAAAGAAACACACACACACACACACACACACGCGCACGCACGCACGCACGCACCGCACTGCAGGGGTCAAGCGGAGTAAAGGGGAGCGCGTCCGCAGTGATTGCCTTTCGTTTGTGTTCGGTGTGACTTTTGCATGTGTTGCTGTACTGGTAGTATGGATGCCTGTACTTGTCTTGTGGGTGTGCATGTGCTGACTTTGGTGTGTGTGTGTGCATTTGTTGTGCTTCTGCGTGCGTGTGCGTGCGTGTGTGTGTGTGTGTGTGTGTGAACCGTCCTGGAACACGGACGTTAAGCAGGGGGACTGGAGCCGATTTGCCTATCCAGTCCAATGAAGCTACGGCATTTTGGTGGATACCGGATCTGATCAATCCGGCGTACCTGCCTATTTCCTGACCCTCTTTCCTGATTCCTTTTGCGGTTTCTGTTTGTCGCTGTTGCTTCCTGTTCGGTGTCGATGTTGTGACCTGTTGATTTGCATTTGCATTCAAGCATTTTTACTGACTGCGTTTTTCATCTCGGCTAGTGAAGCCTCTCGAGATAAGTGTGTTTACCCACGGCCTGTCCGACATGGCGCTGTGGGCTGGACTCGCCACATGCGGGAGCCCCCTGCGAGGGGAAGACCGTTCAAGTGTTCAAGTTCAAGCTGCAGTTCAGTTCAGCGCGTTTGACCACGATCAAGGCTGCAGCTTGAGGTCTTAAGGTATTCCGCACCCAAATGGTGCTCTGCTGGTTTCATGCGCGTTGCACTGCCTGCACTGCCTGCCTTTGAAGCAAGGCTGCACCCACGAGGTTTCAGGTTCCTAAGCTTCATGCGCCAGTGACGAGTTGGTCATACACCAACTCTGCAATTCGTGGTGTTTATGGAAGCTTTCGTCTCGGATGAGTTCAGTTCAGATTCATGAGTTCAGTTCAGATTCATCGGCATAGCCACATGAGGCACTTTCATGAGGCCACTTGACAGGCACCTCTGAGAACCCCTTTGTGCTCGCATGCATTTGCACCATTGACGCCTTGCGAAACCTTTTTCCGTTGCCGCGGGGTTTTTTGTCGGTCCCCCGGTGGAATTCCCTCGGTTTGGTTTTGTGCGCTCGGGTTTTTCGTCCTTGAAAATGTTTTGCTGTTGCCGGGGGTTTTTGGAGGTCCCCTGGTGGAATTCCCTCTGCTTGGTTTTGTGCGCCCGGTTTTTTGTCCTTGAAATTCTTTTGCTGTTGCCGCGGGGTTTTTGGCGGCCCCCTGGTGGAATTCCCTCTGTGTGGTTCGTGTCCGCCCCGCCGGGGCCTTGTGTGTGTGAACCGTCCTGGAACACGGACGTTAAGCAGGGGGACTGGAGCCGATTTGCCTATCCAGTCCAATGAAGCTACGGCATTTCGGTGGATACCGGATCTGATCAATCCGGCGTACCTGCCTATTTCCTGACCCTCTTTCCTGATTCCTTTTGCGGTTTCTGTTTGTCGCTGTTGCTTCCTGTTCGGTGTCGATGTTGTGACCTGTTGATTTGCGTTTGCATTCAAGCATTTTTACTGACTGCGTTTTTCATCTCGGCTAGTGAAGCCTCTCGAGATAAGTGTGTGGGCGAGCGTGTGCATCTGTGATTGTATGCGCTTGCGCTCATGTGTTTGCAAGGTATGTGCGCACGCATTTTGATTTGCAAGCGTGTGTAGTACTGATGTGACTGAGTATGCGTACATTTAATCAGGCTGTGCCTGCGCGACAGCGGCTGCCAGTGTCATAAATCAAAGTTGTTAGGTTGGCCCCACACTATCTTGGCATATCTTAAAAGCCGAATCCGGTCCTTCAGAGATTGAGTCTAGATTAAGCGTTTGCCTTGCGGGCCTGCTTGTGATTGAATGCGGTGGCCAAGTGCTGTGTGTGTGTGTATGTGTGTGTATGTGTGTGTGTGTATGTGTGTGTATGTGTGTGTATGTGTGTGTGTATGTGTGTGTATGTGTGTGTGTATGTGCGTGCGTGCGTGCGTGCGTGCGTGCGTGCGTGCGTGCGTGCGTGCGTGCGTGCGTGCGTGCGTGGGTGGGTGGGTGGGTGGGTGGGTGGGT